AGACGAGTCCTTTGGTGGCGTGGGAGCTTTTGTCGACGCGAAGCTAGCACGACGCTGAATTTCACGCTCCCGTTCCTTTTCGCGCACCTTTTCGTCTTTGAGTTCTCTGCCGGAAATAAGCTTCTTCCTGCGAGGCTTGATCATCTCGCCCTCGGACGAAACCGCAATGCTGTCGGAGTCTAGCTTCTTCGATTTCGTCGACTGCTTGGACGGAGGGGGCGTGTCGCGGTTAGCGTTGCTCGCACTAGGGCTACGATCGCTGCGCTGTCTCGATTTTGCCGTCGTAGCAGTTGAGGATTTGTTGTCGCCGCGGGAACTGGCATGATCGGATAAACGCTTTTGTGAAGATTTTTCTTCGCGCGTCGATGATGCCGCCCCGCTTGTCGTAGGCGTGCTAGACTTCGTGCCAGTCGCTGCTTTCTTAGGCCGCTCTTGAGAAGGGCTGGAAAGTTTCCGCTTGTGAGCGCGTGCCGATTGTGTGTCGTCTGAAGCCTCGATGGCACGGGACGTTCTCCGAGGTTCAACATCTTTGTCTTTCGTCTTGTTGCCATGGGATTTTTTGTAGTTGTCGTATGCCTTCTTGAGCATATCCTCTTCTTCTTTCCAGTTCGGTCCTTGCCTCTGCCTGGCGATCTCGTAGTATGTGTTGCCGTTGAAACGCTTTGTTGGGTCGAAGCTGCTTTGCTCGAGCAGCAGGCTAATAATCTTAATGTTTTCCTGGCCGATGGCAGCGAGAATCGGGGTCGCATGCTCAGGCGGAGCAGATGATATGGGCGCAGGGTCAGGGTTGGCTTTACCAAGAGCGAGCAACATTTGGAGGATAATATCATGTCCACCTCTCGATGCAGCAACCATTGACTCAGGGTCATCAAATGTCTCGCGAACTTGTAAAATACGGATAACATTTTCTTCGTCACCACGGCCGGCAGCCTGTCGAAGCGTTTTGTCGTCCATGGGCATGTACAACAGGTGATTGCTGGTTTTTGTTGCACGAACGGTTCCTGCTCGACGAGATGTTGGTGCTGGTGACATCTGAGGACTATCGGGGTTGTGGGAGTTGTGGGAGCGAAGATCGTCGGTTTCGTGGCGGTGTTCTTCAGATGTGAATCGTCGTTCGCCCATCTTCTTTTTGGCCTCAATCAAAGCTGCACGGATTTCGTCGCAGTTATCGATGTCTTCTGTAGCGCGGTCAAGAGGCTCCTCTCCATTGACGTTGGCTTTCCGAGGATTGACCCCGGCATCAAGTAACAGTTTGACGACGTCAAGGTGGCCATTGTCAACAGCATCCAAAAGCGGCGTATCTTTGTCGTGGTTGACGCAATCCAAATTGCAGCCTGCATCGATCAAAAACTTCACAATCTCGCCGTATCCATTAAGTGCGGCAATCTGCAAAGGTGTGTTGCCAGCGAAATCGGCAACGTTCAGGTCATAGGGACGTTCTGCCAATCGTTGCTTGACAAGTTCCAACTCACCGCGAGCACAGGCCCTGGCGAGAAAAGTTTGTCCATGGGCATCAAGATGTTTCTTGTGCGTGGAGGTTTTGGCTGGAGAGGTCGCAGAGTCCGCCGTCGCGGGGGTCGCGAGGCTGCGAAGCTTTGCGCTTCTCATGTGGGGGCTCCCACTTGCAGAGGAATCGTCCGAGTTATAGTCCGTCGACTGCAGTGGAGCAGGCACTCTCTTTTTCTTGAGACCCAGCCCGCTGGATTGGGATTGCAGTTGCGTGGAGAGGCTTCGCCGGTGTGAACGAGGTTGGGGAGAAAGAGACCTGTTTTGTGACGCGTCTCTGAGGCTTCGCGATGCCGACGCCTTGCCGCCAGAACCATTTCCATTCGCGTTGCCGTTGCTGCCAATGCTATTTCGAGACGAATCCTTTCCAGCGGCCCTGCTTGACGACTGAGAGGTTGTGTCGCCACCCGCGCCAGCGCTTGCTAGCCGTTGACGACGAGCGTTTTGCGCTTCTGTTTCGTCGTCTGATTCCACTTTGGGTGCTTTTCGCTTGTGGGGTACGAGTTTCTCGGGCGGTCTCAGTCGGTCTTTTGATGCCAGATATGATGGGCGTCTTGGTGATTTGGCTTGCTGTCCGCGGTCAGAGTCGGAGCCCGAGTGTGGTCGTGATGACGAGTTCCGGCTCCTTGGCGGAGACGCCGGCGCTGAGCTAAGGCTGCTTGTCGCGTCTTTAGGCCGCGCAGTGCCTTGAAGTTTATCATGCAGTCGCTTCTTCTTCCCCTCAGCAGCGTCTCCCACAAACTTGTCTGCCTTGTCTCGTTTTTCGATCTGGCCGTCTTTCTTCTCCGCGACCTGCCTCCGGGAAGGCGGCGCCAAGTCGGAATGTGCAGCAGAGGACGCAGACGCACCGTTTGGCTTGCCATTGTCCTCGTGTTTAATGACCTTCCGGTTCCGTGGCTTCGATGGTGATCCATCCTTGGACAAGACGATCGTCTCGGCTTCTGAGTTGCCATCTGTGCCACCATCGTCGTCTTGCTTGTCGCGGGACGAAGATGCAGATGCCCTTCCGTCCCGCGTCGATGTGGGGGACACGGTTCTCGTGGTCGAACCTCTGGAGCGTTCTTTGGCTGACGAGGAGGTTGTTGCAGACGTGATGGGCTTGGATGATGATTTTGGTTCTCTCGAGGATGGCGGCGCGGCCCGAGACAAAGTAGGTGATCTGTTCACTGAGGTGGCAGTAGCAGAGGTCGATTTATGTCGCTGCGAATCGGAGACACGCGAGGCGGAGGCGGTTGAAGAAGCATTAGGCTTCGCGGACGTGGCCTCGGAGGCATTCTGCGCATCCATGACATTTAATTTGGGAGGAGCTGTCTGGTGTACACCATCATGAGAGCGCTTCGAGCCTGCGCAGTGATCTTGAGCAACACGTGGGCAGTGATTGCAAAGATGCAACAGGCAGTGCTGATAAAGGAAGGACTCGAGGGAAACTCAATGGAAAGGGAAACCACCGGGTCGCGGTCGCGTGTCCAGAAGATAACAAGAAGTAAATGAGGATACTAGGTCTAAAAAGCCTGTAGAGTTGCTCGTGTTGGTGTCGATGTCGAAGTCGAACTGACAATACGAAAAGAAAAGGACAGGCGAAGGAGAGGCCAAGAAGGGGCGTGCGACCAAAACAATGCGCCCCGAAAAAGAGATGTTCGCGATCAGACTAATAATGGGACGGAAAGGAAGGATGGAGAGTCGCGAAGGATAGGGCGCCGTGATGGCCAAAGGACAGATGGTGGAATAGAGATTTTTGTCGTCATGCAGGATGGGGAGCGAAAGAAAGAAGAGTGAGAGAGGAGGGAAGTTTCGAGGAAGCCGCCACTCAGACCAGGAAATCCTGCCAGTTGCGGTTTTGGGCTGGCGCTGGTTGTTTTAGCTGGTCGTGTCTTTCCAGTGTAGGGCTCCCTGGTTGTCTCCTTTGCTGGTGGAGGGAAGACGGAAAAGGAGAGGGGCGATAATGGTGGCCGATCAAAGGCGGGCTGCAAGAAGGCAGGAGCAACAGTCAGATCCCACAACCGCAGCTGGACAACACCCATGCAAACCAGCTCAAGGCAATATTGGTGCCCGTATTATGCAAAAATGGGCGAAGCCTGCCCCGAATCCTTTCCCAAAACCTGCTCTTCGCTCTTTCCTTCAGAAAAACGCGAATAGTGTAAACACGCACGAGGGAAGGAGCGATGGGGGAACATGCCAAACAAAGCTAAGCGGCGCGTATGTATCCAGACCAATGCGACGAGCGATATAGAAAAGATTGACAGTCAAGGAAGGTGCGACTGCCGAGTCTGTATTTAGTATTTACAGCACGCATTGAGAGGAGCGATGGCGGGTTCAAGACAGAACAGAGCGCATGATTCGCTGGGACTCGGTCCAAGTTACGAAGTTTTGGTGGGCAACCTGTGTGCAGAAAGGGGGGCGATACTCTACTCTAGTTTCGCGGAGCTCACTGTTGTTGTAGCGAGCATCGACGACCTTTTTCACTGTTGTTGAGCACATAGCCAGCACGTTACAGGTGCCTGCCCCATGGCCGGGGAGTCTGATAGAGTCTGATCGCTGGCGCCTGATTGGACTTTATGATCCAATTACGGCGGGGCGACAGACTCCCTAAACGCGTTCAACTCCTGTCTCCTGCCTCTTGCCCCCCAAAGCCGCCATCGTTTGCTGTTTACACCTTCATTTTGTCAAGAAAAGTGGGTCTAGATGGCGCGCGTGATTGGCCTAGTATCTGCTTTTGGGCTTACACAGTAAAATAACGCTAGTGACTAGCGTCCATTTGTACATGAGGCTAGATACTACTCTCGTTCCGAGGAGCACAAAGCAGAATGTAATGTACGGAGTACGATGTACACAGTGTATATTTGACAATCTACGACGCATCAAACTGTCCGTTCGGTACTTGGTACTCTGGGTAAGTTGAAGCGTTTTCTTTCGACTCGCCCCTTCCCAGCAGGTCGATCTCGGCTCACATCGCAAGAAATTAAAGATGCCACTCGCAAGAGGGAAGCACTCCGGTTACAAAGATTTCACGGTTTTCATCATATTGCAGCCTCGTCCAAGGTCGCAAATTGTGGTTCTTTGTTTGGGCCCGCCATCCGACGAAATTAAAGAACTGCGCCCCCTACTCCTCCACTGACTAGCTACTGCGCGGCCGCGACGATCGCGCGGCGGACAATTAGCACGCTATCTTTCACCTTTCCTGCGTGTTTCCTTGCTAGAAAACACGTTTGCTAAGACTTGCTTCACCTTCATCTTGTGCTTTTTGCAAAGGCCAAGACAAATGTGGGATTCGACAAAGGTGCATCTGCACGAACACTACAAACTTTGCGTTTCTTCCTTTGGGATTGATCAGGTGCCAGTTCAGCTAATGGACCGCCCACTCCAACATGCAGCTATCTCGTGACCACATAATCCATTTCTCTCTGCAATTTGGCTTGCTTGGTCGGCAATGATTCCCAGCCGCGTCAAAGAAACACCTGACATAAACAACAAAAAATATCACTCTTACCGCCACCATGGTTGTTCCACCTCCCTCTCCGTCGTCTCAATTGCCGCTTCCAGCAACACTGGACAGGGTGCAGATCCTAAGCCTACCGGCCACGGCATTCTATATTGCTGAGTTTATCACAGAAGAGGAAGAGCGGCAAATTCTCCAAAGGGTGAGCAGCGGTTGGATGGGTACCGGGACGTCCACAGCCTTTTGCTGACCACATTATCTTTGATGCTTCACAGGTCGAAGCTGCGCCGAAACCGAAGTGGAAGCAACTTTCCCACCGCCGTCTGCAAACATGGCCGTCCGATCTCCTTCACGATAAGCTTCTCGATGCACCGCTCCCGCCGTGGCTCGTGGACCCTGTCATCACGCGGCTCCTCACCATTCCTGTGGGAGCCAACAGGAATGGCGACGACGGCGAGAATGACGACCGTGACAACATATTCGCCAATAGCCCACACAAGCGTCCAAACCATGTCCTAATCAACGAATATCCACCTGGCGTGGGAATCATGCCGCACAAGGTGGGTTGAATGCAGATTCTTGGGAAATGGGAATGTAGTCCAGTTCGTATACATGAGCTCAAAGTCAACTCTGCTGTGTCACTAGGACGGCTCGGCATACCACCCAGTAGTCTGCACCGTAAGTTTGGGTGCCAGTCTCTGTCTGAATATCTACAAGAACAATGAGGACGGCACTCTGCACACCGAACCCGTGGCGCGGATTCTCCAAGAACCGCGCAGTCTTCTAATCACCACCGACAACCTCTACACCGATTACCTGCACGGCATTGCCGACATTGACAAGGACATCGACCTATCGGAAGCCACCATCGCGAACTGGGACCTCTTACAATCCAAAGAACTGTTTGCCTCTGGGCAGAGCACACGCGAAACTCGCGTCAGCTTGACATACCGGGACGTATTGAAAGTATCGAAGCTGGGTAACAAGTTTGGGATGTTCAAGCGGCCGTGATTCGGAGAGGAACTGACATGCGGCATCGGGCACCCAGCACGTGCAACGCCGATGCCGGCACTTCAAAAGATAAATGGGATCATCCTCCATTTCTTGGCCACCCGTTCTGCGCCGAACTTTTCGCTATACCACCGTTTGGTACGGTCTGCCGTCACTCCGAGGCCTGCAAGAACGAACAACAGAGACGACAACAAAGTGCGATTCAGAAGCCTTCCGTCCGGCGCGGTCACGATGGACAAGGCGACATACAGGAAGAACTCGCAAGTGTAGTGCGGACTGACAAAGTAGCGGAAAAGACCCTCGTCGGGCAGGGAGTACTTCTTGAGGCTGGCAAGGTGAACGTGACAATGGTATTGGCCCACCCATGCGAGGAGGAAAAGAGGCGTGCCGACAAGAATCTTCGCCAAGGCCTCGGTGTTAATGGCATACGTAGATCCCGTGGAAGCATTGTGCTGCTTCGTAGCCAAGATTGCCTCTGCCGGTTCAATCAATACAGTTAGCGAATCGTCAAAAAGAGAGCGAAAATCAGAGGAAACTAGATGACGACGATGTAGACAAGGAGACATACGTGAGCCCTCGACCCATATGGCGACACTCATGATTGCATAGTACGCAAAACCCAGGAAAAAATGCGCGGCGTTCATCTTGGCCTTGGATGGCTTGAAGACGTAGAGATATTCATAGAGCCGGCGGCCTGTCTGAAGTGCTTCGAGCACAAATGCAACGCCCACCTGGGCAAGGACCATGGACGCGACCGGCGTCGATGACCATACCAGATCGGATGTTTGCTGGCTCGCCAGAATGCGTCCAAACAGGTTGTCTGGCGGCTTTGGCTCAACCGTCCCCGCTTGGCTCCACGACCACCACTGGGCAGCCCAATACGAGGTGCACAGGAGGTAAAAAGCATAAAAGCTGATGAACCACGAGTGCGGCACCTGCAGCCGGGACACGACGCCAGCCACGCTCCGTTCCAGGAGGCCTGGCGCTGGCGTAGATGCAGGCCTGCCGTACTTGTTGTTTTTGTCCGCCACAATGGCATCGGCGGTAGAGCTCTTGCTGTCCCGCGCACCGTAGTCAAGCAGGAGCTTCTGCGTGGCCGCCGGGAGCAAAGTCAGTGCCACGATGGCGGCGCCGAGTCCGACAAAGGATGCCTGGCAGAGGTTGGCCGGGGACATTGAAAGGGAGGCAGAGCCCACCGTGGCGAGAGCGCCTGGGATGACACGGAAGCCACCCAGAGTCATTGTTCCGCGGTCTGTTGTGTCACGAAAGTGGCGATACTGATTCCGGAATGCGCTGCCGGCGTTCGGCCGATTGTTCAAAGCATATGCCGTTGACAAGGGCGGTTGCGCCTGGAAAGTAAACTGTGCATTACATCCCCAAGAGCCATATGCGAGGCGGCCAAGAGTCCCTTCCAAAATGCCCCATACCAAATCAAGTCTGCACGTGACCACTTTTCTTTTGTTCTTCACAGAAGAAAACAAGAGGACATTTTGAGAGATTCAAATAATCGCAGGTAAAAAGGTCTTTTGAAACAGTTTTGTATGACCATAGCTATGTTTTCTCTACGGTTTGCTTGATTTAAGGGTTACTTGGAGAGCAAGCGCGCCGAGTCTGTGAGTAGAACAATCCAGCCACGGGCAAGCCACAGAAACTTAGAGCACCACCCTGTTGGTCCCTTATACGTTTTCTATTTAAAGAAGTTAGGAAGAAGACGCAGCAAATTTGAAGTCAGAAGAGCTATCTCGGCTGTCTTGTGTTAGGCTGTCACCTTCTTTCTCCCATCGTCCCCTCGTTCAGTTTGCCGATCGGTTATTTCAACCGGTCAGCTGCCCGAACTCCCGGCTTTTTACGCCAGGACTCGCTATATTTTGAATACCCCACGCTAGGAAGGCTTACGATGCAAAGGCGGGCATTTTGGGGCCATAGTTCCCCTCCACATTCCTTTGGAGCGTGTGTTTTATTTTACTTTGACTATTTCAGGAGCGCTCTCGTCTTTTTCTGCTGTCGTCTCTCACCAGCTTCGAGCTCAGTCCTTAACAGTCTCTGCCGTCCCACCATTCCTCGCCATGGCCGCTCCGTATCCTCAGATCGTCCTTTTCGGTGACTCTCTTCTCCAGGGCGCCGCCGAAACTTACGATGGCTTCTCTCTCCAATCCGCTCTCGAGGCTCACGGCATCCGCCGCTACGATGTCGTCAACCGCGGTCTCTCTGGATACAACACCTCCCAAGCACTCCAGCTGCTTCCCAGCGTCTTCCCTCTGCCACCATCTGAGCCTTCGCCGTACACGCCCAAGATCGCTTACCTTGTCGTGCTACTCGGCGCCAACGATGCCGCCCTGAAGGCGGACAAGGACAACCAGCACGTCGACCTGGCCGAGTACGAGGCGAACCTCAAGGCCATCCTCACGCATCCCAACATCCAAGCCCACAAGCCCGGCAAAATTTTGGTAGTGACGCCTCCGCCGGTCGACGGCATCCGGCTGCACGAGTTCGAGCGTATCAACTACAATCAAACAAGAACTTCAAGGCAGGCACTCGTCTCTGCAAAATATTCGGAAGCGGCACGCCGTGTAGCTCAATCTGTGCCTAACACCGCTATCGTGGACCTGAACAAGGCACTAATGGACCTCGCCATTGCGCGCACGGCGGGCTTTGATCCCAAGGGCAGCGTTGTGCTCGGCGACGAGGCTGGCGGCCAGCGCGGCTACCTGGCAAACCTACTGTCGGACGGACTGCACCTCTCCGGTGAGGGATACCGGGTTTTCTTTGAGGAGCTTCGGCCACACATCGATCCTCCTAACTCGCGTGAAACCGTGGAGGGCTGGATCTACCCCGAATGGCGGCAGGCTCCCTGGTTGCAGAAGTAGATGGAGATTAGAGCGGACAAGACAACATTCAGGGCTTTAAAGGGCATTCAAAATGGCAAGATACGGTCTTGCGGTCTTGCAACCGACAAAGAATTGCGCGTGGATAGACTACTGTTAATGTAGACCTTAGAGTCGCCAAATGCTTATAAGTGCACTGCAAGAAGTGTTTCCCCCTGAATCGAGAGACATGCCCTTTGATGGCCGGTAATAAGGGCAGAAGACTCTTTCCACTTTGGGCGAGCCTCTGAGACAGCTCTTAGCTTACGCCCACTTACACTTACACTTTATCGCAGCCAATTATTACCTGGCAACGCGCTTAACAATTCGCGCTTTCCATAACCAGAAGGCGCTTGTAACACGCGGTCGTTTAGTAGTGGCAGTAAATCGTATATGCGCTGTAGGTCGTAGTTGCCTTGTGAATATGACTACTCCGTACATTCGCCGCCCAGGTATTTTACTAAGAAAATCGCTGAAACCTGAAAAAGTTCCGCCTTCGCAACGTCGACGGTATCATCTCCAAACACAAATCATTTCTCCCATCGCCTCTCCCTTTCGCTCTCGATCACGAAACCGTCTTTTCGACATTCATTCCAGTGCACCCAACTCACCAGTTTTTCCTTACACCTACAAGACAAAACGACTCCCCTCCGTTCGATATCAACCTTACTTCGTACTCGCTCCTGCCTCTCCCCCTTTTTGCCTCGTCGCTCTTTCCCGATTCTCGAACTCTCGAACAAAACGCCCTTCCGTCCTCAGTCTTGTCTAGGCCTCAACAGCTCCTTCCCCATCCTTCCAGCCGGCAGACCAGCGCCAACGCCCTTGCTTCGAATAACCTTTAAAGCAGGTCCGCACCCTCTTTCGGCTGCAGCGTCCCACGTCGCCCCTGCCGTCGTCTGAAGATTCCAAGTCCGATATCTCCCACATCCCATTCTCTTTGCAAATCAACAAAGAAACTTGGACAAACAAACACTATCCAAACAACTTTCTCGTCTTCGACCATCGAGGCCGTTCGTTTTGGAATCCACACCAGTCAGCAAAGTCAATTTAGCAACCACTCTATCCTACCTCTATCGGATCTCTGTCCCTAAAGACATTAAAAGCCTTTGGCGTCGATAACGAGCTCTGCTGTTGCGAGACTCTTCATTCAAACTACATACTGTACCCCGGGGAAATTGAAATCCGAAAGCAAAGTACGACATCCACAACATCGCAATTCCCATTTAGGTACAGCGCTGCGAAGGCCTCTTCGGTCTGCAATCACGAACGCCTGCTTTCCTCGACAGCGTCCGTGCAAATTGACAACACCATAGCCCGGCACATATCACAGCTTGATCAGATCTTTCCCAATTCAATAAGCTACAACGACACGCCCGCCGCGTGTGTGGGCAGCAGAGAAGGAGCAAGCGACGGTCTCCGGGCTGATTTGCGGCGTGTTTGTGGTGTAGAGGAGTTCATTGTGTCGTCAGCACATATCTTGACACAAAGAAACACATCAGCTCGAATTCGAAAGGCCAAGAAGACAACGAATTAACGGTAACAAAGAGTAAAGGACAGACGAACGAAACCTTGTGCGACAAACCACAAAAACGACAACCAAGCTCCGCGCAGGATATCGAACTGCCCCTGCTAAACGCGCCAACCAACAGCTCAAGCGGCGAAAGCGCTCTGCCTTGCTCTCGTCGATTTTGACTTTGAGCAAAAACGTCGGTCGCCTATCCGTTATTTACGGCGGTTTTCTCTCTCCCACCGACGGCTACCGCATCCCTCATATACACGGCCACTGAGGGCATGGATACTCACTTTTTCGTGAGCCGTGAAGAGTTCCACAATGTCCAGATGGACGTTAGGCAACTGCAAGCCGTCCAATCGACCCAGATTGAACGGATACAGCGCCTAGAAAAGCGTCACCAGGACGATGCGGCAATGCGGTCGGCGTGGTCGAACTCCCCGTTCCCAAGCGCGTTGGTGGGAACACCGCAGCACGGTACGTCTTTATGTGTGTTAATATGCTTAACCATTATCCCCGCACCCCTTTCGCTAACAACTGTTCTTCTTAGGACCTATTCGGATACCATCCACAGAGAATTTTGACCTCGATGAGCAGAGTCAAACACTAGGTTCTTTACACCTCGAGCCTGATGATGAACCGATTCGGAGAGCAGCCGCCGCCTCGCGGGCCAATAGTGTCCGCTTTGATGAAAGCGCCAACTTGACCCAAAGCGGCAGAAGCCTCAATGACATCGGCCCCTTCCGACCCGGGAGCAGCCTAATGATGGAACGGTCACTTTCACACAAGTCAGATGGCAGACACAGCTCCGCCGGCCACTCTGTGCACTCTGTACATTCTGCGGCCTCCGGGCGGGGAAGTAGTATCGCCCTCGACACCAACTACATGTCTGGTGGCCATGAAGACGACTCGCCCATTGACGTGCCTGAGCCGCCACCGGTATTCTTTGTGTTGGGTTCTGTGCCGGCCATTATCCGGTGCTGGCTCACAAAGGATTTTGCCAACAACACTCTAATATATGCAGCAGTCTGCACTGGCGCCCGAAAATCGACAATCGATTTCTCCCTCGTCAAGGAGCTTGGCTTAGATGACCTTGTCTATCGCGAGGTCGACAACTCTTTCAAGATCCATCTGCAGACATACCTTGCAGAGGCCATTCCCGCAACGAAATCGACAGTCCCCGTTCCACAAATCCCCTTCCTCGCAATCAACTTTGAGGTTGTCGGGGCGGAACATATTGCTGATAGTGAAAATAACAATGGTATCCGTATCTTCATCGGCAGTGATGCCCTCCGGGCTCACAGTGCGGACATCCTGTTTTCGCGGAACCTCCTATCCGTGTACAGCAGTGAGCGAGAGAAGCTGACAGTCCCCTTTGTTCGGCCTGAAAACGACGCTCTGTTTAAGAACCTATGCACGGTCAGCGCCGTTCCAGGTCGGCTCAAACTCAATGCTGCTGCTGCAGAATTTGTTTCCAGCGATGCCAAGTCCCGTGACAGCATCAACGGCGCTGACGACGAGCACAACCGCCTGGACGAATACGACGACGATGAGTTGGACAGCTTACCTGATGATGAGTCACGGCACTTCCATGGCCAGCAAGATGACAATGCCGACCAGGAAGGTCCACATCTCCGTCGTGGACCACCTGGCCTTCAGAATCTTTCGGGTACTGCTGGCAACTCCAGTATCCTGACCCCTGGTGCGATCTCTCCAACGTCGGCCCATCCCATCCCGCCTGCGAAGTGGCACGAGGGAGCCTCTGGTGCTGCTTCTGAGAATGGGGCCGAGGGTGAAAAGGTACCTCGAAACTCTACCAGCTCAGACTACTCGGGGAAAGATGCGGGTCCCAACGCGGATGGCGGTCGCCGTGATGCGAGCGCCATCTGGGGCTCGTGGCGTCAAGGTGGTTCCACTACAGGTAGCGACGGTGGGCACCGAGAGAATGGTCCTTTGAGTGGGTACCAGCCGGCTGGGCGCTCCCGAACAATGAAAGTTCTCAAACCAAAGGTTGGCAACGGTTCAACATCCGCTCGAACCGGATCCTCGTATGAGCCTCCGCCGCCCCCTCGCTCGAGCGGCGAGCATCGCCGAAAGAGCCAAGGACCTTCTGGCACGGCCGTCTCTGCAAATGAGGGCGGCAGCGGAAGTGGCGGGGGCAACAATGCGGCCAGTGTGGGAAACGGTGGCGGCACCACGACGGGAGGCAGCGCGACGCCCTCAAATGTGATTCGGTGGGAATCCAAGCGCAGCATCAGCAGTAGCAATGCGGCCGCGCACAACGCTGGGCATGGGAAAGAAAACAAGGCCCAGCAAGGCCTTGCCGCGCTGGAGCTCCGGAACAACACTTCTTCGGCGCCTCGGACGTCCAACCCTGTTGGCGGCGCCTCTGCATTTGCATGGATGAAATCGTCCAGGCCGCAACCTTCTTCAGCCGAGTGAGCGAAGCCGGGGGCACGAGTTTGACGATTACGCGCTTTCTTTGTGCCGAAATTCTGAACATTCATTGCCACTTAATTAGTTACCAGCAGCCAGCACCTTTTGCTCGCTTGGCGTTTATTTTGTTTTGGGCTTCCTCAACCCGGACCCCCCTGAACCGGATTTATGCAAACTGCCGGGATATCACTACAGTGCTACTGGAGGACGATTTGGGGACGTGGCTTATGGCAGCGGGAAAAGATGTATGTTTTCGAGTGTATGGATTAGGTCCCAGGCAACGTGTGACTGCAGGCCAATGTCCCAAATGGCTCCAGGTGCGTGAGTAGGCTGCGGCTGTCAAGAAAAAGTAAAATACCGATTCAATGTCATTGAATTCGAAGCCAAAAACACCATAAAAATATAATTATTATATAAAAAAGTAACGTGGAGGAATCAGTCGTAAATACATTTTATCAGCAGTGGGTTAATTTTTTTAAAAAAATAAAAGTATATGTACAACATGCTCGGTAAGTCATCACAAAGACCTGTTACCAAAACAACCACACCAAGCTCCATCTAGATCTTGGCCGACAGCAACGATGACAATGCTGTCTTGGTGTCGGCGCTCGTGTCCTTGACAAGGCTGACGATGTTGCGGAACGCCGGGATGCCCGCGTCGCCCATAGTCTCATACATCCAGCTCTCCGATGTCGTCACCGTCGCACCCGCCGTCCGCAGCCGCGCCAGCGCAATCGGCACCTCTTCGCGGTTGCACGACGACACACCATCCGCGAGCACGAATACGCGATAGCCCGCGGCCAGCAGGTCCAGGGCGGTCTGCGTGACGCAGATATGGGACTCGATGCCGACGATGACGACGGACGACAACGAGGACGCAGGGCCGGACGCAAATGCGGCCTTGACTTCGGGTGTCCACATACTAAAGAGCGTCTTATCGGCATCGACGAGCAGCTTGGCCTTTGTGGCGTCGGCCGCGTCCGTCGACGTGGAGTACAAGGACGACAGCTCGGGGACAGTGTCGCCAAGCCGGGCACGGTTCTGGGTGGTCACGACGACCGGGATGTCGAGGATGGCGGCGGCACGGAGCACCTTACGGGAGGTGAGGACTCTTGCGGAAAGTTAGAGAATTAAATTAAAAAAATAAAATAAAAAAACTAAACACCGACAGATGCCGAGGAGCACTTGGATTATGGAGAGGGAGGACGGGACATACACTTTGTCAAACTCGTGAATGGCATTGCGGAACTTCTCCTGGATGTCACAGACAAAGACAGCCGAGTTGGGCACACGGAGGGTCGCGGCAGAAGCCATGGTTGGGGGTGTACTGCTGTGGAAGCGGAAGTTCGGACGAGGGAGAGGCGGCCGGTACGGTGAGCGGCTATAAGTCTGAGGGGCGAGAAAAGGAAGGCGGGATATGACAGGGCCGGTGGCTACAGCGACTCGCTTGGGAAGGGCAAGAGAGAGCGGCGACAGAGACATGAAAAGTATAGGAAAGAAACTGAGAGGCTACGATGGCGGGAGTCAAGTTGTGCGGTGGCCGATTTCCATGTGTCCGGCTAATAATACGTCGTCGGCCGCTGTCAATTGACGGCTTCCGTACTGCGGGGAGGCCAGCCAGCAAGCTGTGTGGGGTAGCCTAGGCACAAGGGCTGCTTCTTCGTCACCCATACCTCTATGGTCCATAGCTTCGGCAATAGCCCCCTCAAAGGCTCCCGGAGCTCTTCAGTTCCGATTGTGTGGGCTTGGGTGGTTGGTTGTATTTTCTTCTTTCGGCAATCTTTCCTCTTGCGAGTGTTATAATATTGTATTTGTTTTCAATGATTTTCTGGCACACGCGTGCATTTTTTGTGTTATTTTGTCAAGTATCGGAGTTGCATGGAAAGTAAACCAAGCTGGTATACACAATAATATTATATAAAAATAAATATTACCTTTACGACACGATCCTGACACAACGAGCCCAGGGTCCTTAACCAGAACTGTGTTTACATATTACCCCGAGTGTCTGGTCGCCACCGGACTTCGCAAAGTGCACATTATACGAATGCTCTCGACCAGAACTCACTGCCGTTAAGAATGTTGGGGTGTGGCCGTAACTCATCTAAATCGGGCATGCCGGTCGCGTTGTGTTCCTGAACACTGTAGCCTTGTGCATGATGATACAGCAACATGTAAGCTGAGATGTAATACTGGTCATGGGTATTCGGGTGTGTCGCACCCTGCGCGTCACGGTTGAACACAGCCAAGGACACGGTTCCGAGCAAATTTGAGCGCTCCGATCAATGGCAGCACAAGGAGGGCAACCAAAGCTGACAATGGCCACGGTCCGTAGAGAGCACCAGATGTTGTATTCTTTTGCATAAATTTTTATATTTTTGAAAAATAGGCTTTGTGCATGTATGCAGGGTTTATGAAAAATCAAAACATGATGCACGAATATTTCTACACTAAATGTCCTTTATGTTCTGCTTCTGCTCTCTCTCAACTTAGTGTATGGGATACCTGGTAAGAGGAAGATAGTAGGCTGAAAGAAAAGTAACAGGGGGCATGGATAAAGAGGGGGCGGAGGACGGAAAAGTAGGAGGGTGGGTGTGTGAGGTTTGGAAGAGTGGGTAAAGGATCATGGAGACGTCGTCTTCTATTTCAGGGCCGCCTGGATCGACTCGAGGACCTCAACCTCGATCTTGGCCTCGGCAATGTCCTGCTCGCTACCGGAGCCGTTGGCAATCTTCTGCGCCTCGGCCAGCTGCGACTTGACAGCCTCCGCGCTGAAGTCCTCAATGGGGTAGCCCTCGACGGCGTTGATGCTCAGGACGGAGTTGGGCTGGACGATGGCGAAGCCGCCGGACACTGTGGAGGGGAAAGAAGGTTAGCTGGGTCGAATTTTTGTATTGTGGCGACCGGTTCGACATCCCGTAGCCGGTAGCTGGCCGGCGCCAGCCGAACTCGGTCACAACCTCCAGAGGGCAGACTCACGGAAGAACTGCTTGTTGCCACCGCTCTCCTCAACGACCTCGATCAGGCCAGGCTTCAGCTGCTCAATCGACGGAACGTGGTTGGCCAGGACACCCATCTCACCGGACTCGGCGGGGATGTTGACCTGCACGACGTCCTGCGACTTGTAGATGGTCTATTTGTATGTTAGTATGGCGTCTGCAGCCGCGCTGGTCGGAATGATCGGTTCGTGGCTGTGCGGTAGGCTAGGGTGTCCGGTCTGAATCAATTGGGTATACGGGGAGCAACGCATATATTCGTATTGGGGATGTGACGTGGTCCATCTCGTTCGTGTTGGTCATTGCGCGGTTTAAATGCGTACCTGGTGAGGCAGAGACAAGCTCAGCTTGATCTACATGGCGACAGCACGGTTAGCACAATACGGTTCACTCAAGCTTCTCCGTGAAGCAGTGGTAAGGTTCGAAGCATCGATGGCGGAGGGACTTGCCTTGTCGGGGACAGCATCGGCATAGGTTCTCCGCTGGAAAGCGACCCGCGGGACCATTGTCGGGCGCGCGCGCAGCGCAGCACGGGCAATGCGCATCGAGTTCATTGTGACGGGGGCGAGAAAACGAAGGTTTGGCGATGGCGACAGGTGTGAGAGCGAGAGAGAAACCGATCAATTGGGTTTCTGGGAGGCGGCGTGGATGCGTGTCGGTTGCAGCTTTCGGAGGACGGGAGCAAAATACATCGCCAAAAATGAAAATAGATTCCGATTTTGCTTCGAGCCCCCCCAAGGGGCCGGATCCACCGTCTACCCGCACCCTGCTTAGCCGGCAATTAGGGTCACATGATAATTTCACCTGACATGTCACACGATAATTCACATGATGTAAAAACAACTCAAAATGGCTTAAATAAATATCACAATATCAAGAGTGGGAAATGTGGTTTAGGCGCATGTGGAGTCCGTTACGTTCCGAGACAGGGGCGATAACTGCCCGGCAAACCAGCCTGTGCGAGGAACATGACCTCATCATGACAACGCACCCGCCAGTGCCTCTGCGCCTCACTCCGTTTTCGGGCGACTTAACATCATGGAATCAAGAGGAAAAAGGAAGTTTCTTGTCGGGCGGATGACGAAGACAAGATGAGAAACCGAGATGTTTGTTTCGGTGCTCAGTGTTGCGCAAAGCGCAAACGGAGCACTCGGAATGGAATCTCTTAGGCACAGTCGAATTGTCACTGTTTGTCACTGTTTGTCACTCCGGCAAATTGTATCGGGCGAGCTGCGTCAGCTTCTCAATGCACTCGAGCATACTTCCCTACTGGGCGAATGGCCCGACAAAGTGTAGGATACGCTGATTTGTTCGACACCCTTTTTCCTGCTCATGCCACAAGGGCCGCCGCTCTAGACAGGAAGAGTCTGGGTGGCGTGCTTTTTTTCGAACTCTGTTCTGGTATGCCAACAGTCGTATTATTGATCACTAGACCCATTGTTCGACAATCTTTTTTACACCACCCTGCTGGCAGGCCCTTCTGGCGGCCCACGACGACGACCATCTTGGGCGCCTATCGAAAATCCCTCAAAGACAACCAAAGTTGTGGAGCAAAAGAGAGCAGAGGTTTTCAACGAGGCTAAACTTGTCAAAGGGGGTTTGGTAGGGGCTTGAAACCCACTACAAATTGCTAATCAACTAGTAAAGGGGAAAGCGTGCGTGCTACCGCGTAGCTCGGACTCTATTAAACTGAAAACAAAAACCATATAAAAGAACTACGTTGGTGAGAAGAAGCGAATAGGGAGATACAATGGTCGCGTGCATCTATCTTGTAGGAGCTGCTCTTTTCTTCCCTGTCCCTCGCTTCCTCTCACGACAATAGCAGCTCCCGGTCCCAAAGCTGCCATTTTGCTATGGGTTTCTTGTTCCGTTGGCCATGTGATCACGGGAGGACAATAGAAGCCCAAGATCCTTCGAAAGCAAGCCTTTGTTCTACGCTGCACGGCTTGTCACAGCCATCGTACAATTCGTCGTCTGCCTTTTTAGAAAGACGCAAGACACTCTTCCATACCCGCTTCGTCCGTTTATTTTATTATTTATAATTTATTCTCTGTGCTCGTGGGAGGAAGCCCATACCGCCAAATTTGGAGACATATTTTTGGTCATCATGGACCAGCCTTCTTTGTCTCGTGCCCACTTCTCCCTTTCGCCGTTCGCTTTTCGTGATGCTTTCGTCCTACAACGTAAATTAGTCCGTGTATTCAATATCCTTCTGTTCGTATCCCATGCCAAGTGGGCCAAGCTTTTGCAGAACCAGCTTAGGCTCGGGACCATGAAATGCTTGTGGAAACATGCCGCACTCCGTACAGAAGGACAAGAATCACTCGCTTAGTGCCCATTCTCACCATTGAAACGGACGACTTGCAAAAACGGTGCACTAAGTTTTAGTGCATGCTCACCGCTGTTGAGGCAAAACGGAACAGACAAGGGAACCGCTCATTGCCGTTCGTTCCTTCTCTTGCGTGGTGTGCTCGCCTTTGGAGTGTTTCGATTTCACATTCCAATTTAGGAAACAACAACATGAATACACACCCCCAGTCGCTGGGCTTGCCTTATGGTTGCGCACTGTTCACACAACGGCCCTCGAAATCTTACGGTCGTAGGGAAGGATGGGAAGGTAATTCGTAGACGGGCGAATCTTGGGAATCCCTCTTCTTATTTATTGTCTGGGTGCGTTTACGATCATAGGGTCGCCCGCCCGTCATGTTGGTGGGCAGCCGTGGTTTCTGGGGAAAAAGGAAAGTGCATACGACTTTGCACCTGCCCTTTGTACTGTACCCATTTCTCCCTCCTTTCGTCCAAACGCGGCATGAGCGCCAAATGGTCCAAAAGAGGAAGCCGGACACGAAACAGGAAAACAGCTGTTTGCATTTTGCTTCGCTTTGGCAACTGCGGGGTTGCAATAACGACGACGCGATAGTTTCACGGAGCGGGCTTTGATGAGAGAAAGAGGGGAAAGCAAAGGGAAGCGACAAGAAATAAGGAAATGAGGGTGCTTGTGTGTCGTGGGGGTCACCGTCCAGTTCGGCACAAAGCCAGACAAGACCACTGTAACTACAACCTTTGATGTTGATGCTGGTTGCCCACTGCGCGTTGAAACGACGGCATAATTCATCCATCTCACAACGTGGAAATGGTATGGACGGCAAGACGCGTGCCGAGCATTTTACAAATTACGTTGGGACCGTAAATAAAGTGACGATGCATTCATGCGGGCCAGTAGCCTCAATGCTTGGCATGCGTGCAGTCTTTTGCTGTCCCCTCTTCCTAGCTAGCTCATGTGTGCTGCACCGCGGTCCCTTTCATGTCACGCAACAATGAAAGATTCAATGTGTCTGAGAAATAGAAGACAATGGCGGGGAAATCATGTAGGCATTATGCAACCGCGAGGGTCACATTGCCCTATGTCGGATCTCAGTTGCTCCAACCCGGATAATGGGCGGTCCTGTTTCGGCCGTTCTTTCTTTTCGTATAATTGAGTAACTACGGCCGTGCCAGGAATTGCGGTGAACACATTTGAAAAGCTCCCTCCCATTTTCATTTCGACGTTTCTACACTGCCCTTTTGTAGATCGACACTATTAAAGCGACGATACAAACAGGGTCTACACTACCTAACTTTGGATTATTTGTTGATTGTCAAGGAAGAGGAATCTCCATGCTCGTCGATCTTGTGCTGCGTCGACCCAGCTTTTCCCGACAGGCCTGTGCTGTTTTAATATCGGTGGCCGGCCACAACTGCTCGACGACGACAAGAACACGGGCCCATGTTCATACCGAGCATACTCGTTGACAGCTTGTCGAAGCCCAGCGCGGCAAGACCTATGAGAGGACGCACTCGACTGGACCAGAGAGCCTCTGTGACGGAAGGCCGGGATTTGTACGCTCCCTGCCAGTCACCGTGACTGTTCTCCTGGATGTTCGGTACCGACAGCAACGCCGGGTTGATCGTGTGCTTTTTGATCGTTTTCAAATATGGCGTATGGCTTTTGCGTAAACCGCCGCTTGTGGCGGTCAAATCACAATATCAAAAGACAACACACTCGTCCAGCACCATCGCAATAAGGATGGACGCTACGCATCTAGGTGCTTGTCAACGTGCAGTAGATCCGCATGGCTACGGACTACAGAGGAGCAGGTGGACAAAATCGAAGAGGCCATGGCAAGCATGAGCGACCCAATGAGAGCAAGACGACCAAGATGGGCGCATGTTCAACCTTGCAAGCGAAAAAGTAACAAGTCACGTAGCATGAAATGGCTGTTGGAGAGCTGTTTTGCCGCTCCCGTCAAAAATCGAAAAGAGGAGTTGTCTCATGTGCCTTTTGTGCCATATCCTAGCTTAAAATCTTGATCGTCTATTTTACGGGTTACCTACCTGGTTCTTTCTGCAAGCTAAGGGAGCTGCACCGTTATGTTTTGCGCGCAAGGCAATGGGGCACGAAAGGGAATTTGTATATCCAGTGCCATGACATTGAGTATCAACGAGACAAGAAGATGGCGTCAGAAAGAGTGCAGGCGAGAGTGGCAGCAGCTTGACGACGTTTTTTGTGAGACGGCCAAATAAAGTAACAAACCAACAGGGCCTTTTTACCGTCGTTGAATACGAATGGTGCTGGAGTGCGTAGTCAGATTCACTCATATTATGTTTGAATACGATATCCTGAATTCGGAACGGCAAGTTGTATGGTGCCCGTCGAAACTGGTGACGATCGCGAAACGGAAAACGAAAATCAAGATTATTTCGCATTCCATGCTGGCTACATCCAGCTCTTCTTAGGTTCCAGGTTTGTTCTTCTACTTGTCTTTTGTTTTCCCTGCTCGCGGATGGGACATGCATGTCGAAATGAATTGAAAAAGATGCATCTTTCGTCCTTTCATTTTGGGAAATTGTTTCTTCGTTCGGCTGTTTCGTTTCAGGCTGTCGTCTTTCTGGCAAACAGGGGTATTTTTAGCTGGCACACGCTACGGGACATTTTTGTCTCCCGTAATTTTAACGGACAGGGCACACTTGAATATCGAGCACCGCGGCACAAAGAGTGAGGGTAGGGAGAAGTCAGGCAGGAAACAGATTCGAAAATAAATCTAAAATAAACCAAACCCGAAACCAAAATCAGGGTACAGAACAATGCCAAGCGCAGTTCGCAATTATGTCCAACGGGCGGTTCGAAATTGGTGTAAGATTTGTATCGTGCGGCTGGTTTTCTTGTTTGACGGTGGGTTGTGATTGTCGGCTATTGCGCCTCGTCTCACTTCTAAATCTACAGGGCCAAGCTCGCTAAGAATTGCTGCACAATTGCGGCACTGCTTAGTTATTACGGCGAAATACGGGCTACGAAGCAGACCTATTGTTTAGGGCCCAAGCGGGGGAACACAAGCTAAAGCACGATGTCCAACTAAGATACGGTATTGCGCTACATGCTTTGGTGGTGGACTGCGATGCGTGTTCGGTCCAATATCCCCAAAAGGCTCTAAGCGGTCTAAGGCTCGGCAGGGGGACGGGCAGGCGCGGCCTCTGAGGCCGCAGGGGCATGCCGATCCCTCGGCTCTCATATCGCCTGTGTATTTTTGTGGTTGCTTTTGAACTTCTGAGAGATATGTGCCAAGTTCGAATGTTCACGCTCCTGAACGAGTCACTGCTTTTTTATGCACACTGAAAAATTGTTATGGGGTCTTGTGTTGTTATGCCACGTTTACGAGAAACGCGTCTTCCTCGTTGAAATAAATCCCGAGAAAACAACACGGTACACTGAAATGACAGACCCACGAAAGAACTCTTGGAGACTGGCAGAAACGTAGCTGAATAACGAAAAGCCGAAATACAAATCTGCAGAAGCAAAGCAAAAATGGTGCCGGAAAATGGGGCAAATGCAGCCTAGGGCCAGTCAGAGCAGAACATATGTTTACGACAGACCTTCAAACTCCCAATATGCATTCAGGCATTGTAACACGGAGCAGGGCACCGTTACTATTGAAGTGGAATGAGAACTGGCGGACGACAGGGGAGCGAACCCTCTCCTTGTTCTCGTTTGCTCTATTACTCGTTTTGTTCCCCATTTCTTTTTCTTTTTTAGGCGATCGTTCTGTGGAGATCGCTGCTAGGAAGAGGCAAGGCGACAGTAGCCAAGATCTGAAATGCGATGAAAGCGTGTCGGGCTCCGTATTTAAGAAATAAAGAAATACAAAATGACACCTTCATAAAAAAGGCGTGACGAGAAGCTCGAGGGGAAAGGTGAACTATAACGAAGTACGGCCATAGAAAGTACGGGACATAGCGAAGTAAAAGCAGAAAAAAGCCAAATAAATAAACGAGGGACCCTCTAACCGTCGTCTGCCACTTCCTTTCGTAAGGAATCGTTTATTCACGGCGTACATTTGATTCGCTCGTTGTATATTGAATCGTCTACTTGATGACCATTTCGCTGGTCGAGGTTCCTCTCTCTGTCGCCATGGCTTTTCGCCCGGTCTGGATCGTCTTATGCAATGGACCCTGTTGGTGGCTGACCTAGAAGGAAAATATTTTCTTTCTTTCCCTACTTATTCTCTTCCCAAGCCCCAACGACGCCGCTGTTGGCGCAATACCTTGAGGAAGATTTTTTGTGGGTGGCGATGGCCGTAAAGAGCCCAGCGTTTCGAAGGGTTAAAATTTTGCTACTGAAGAAAAAAAATCCTGAGAAAGCGCGCCCTGGCCCCCAACAAACCACACGTAAACAGCGCTACTGGCTATTGGTGGGATCACAGCGCTGTAATTGACAAAACCCATCTCCCCGACTGCTTAGAAAATCAGTCATAAGAACCAAAAGCTAGCGCTATTAGCGATGTAAAATACAACATACACTCGGAGGTGTTCTGTCCGCCAACATCGGCACATGTAACAACCCTACAAAAGCTAGCGGCACTGCCAGCGTTCTCGGAGCCACAAACCCACAACGAGTGAGTAAAATGTCGCACGCTCGATGATCACAGTGCGTTATTGAACATCCACTGCCGCTGGCACTGTATTCAACGCCACAAATCATGGACAACGGAGTACAGTGGCATAAGTGGTAATCATACGGTACAATTGCAAAATGGCAAGACAGCGCATATGCAACCCCACACGAATTCCATTTGAAGAGAAAAGACCTCTCATTTTCGCAGAGAACCGCGCTATATTTGTCGCCGTTTTGGATTCAACCCGGCGTCGTTTCAAGAAAGAGGGAGAAGTATCTTATGTAGACTGCTCACGTAACGCATGTGCTTTGCGTATTACAGAGCAGGCGGCTGGGGCGCAGGCATTGGCGTGAGGAAAGCGTCCTGTTACGGAGCAGGAAATATTTCCGCGTAACAATTTTAGCAGGAGAGAATTGGCTTGTATTATGAGGAACCAGCAGACCCTGTCCCGACCGCGCTACTGCCGTTGCAGCGTCCTTCTCATTCGCCCCTTCCTAGGCGAGATGCACTACAAGTCGTATTACTGGGTCCCTCTGCATCTTTCCGTAAAACAAACGGCGGCGCATTTTACCATTTTCGTCGCATGGTTTAGCGCATTTCTTTCCGTTTTCTGCCTTTCCGGCACCTTCCTCTTTGTTGCCCTCTTTCTTGTAGTGCGCTGGGGGAGGTCACACCCCCGCAGCTTTTTTCGACAATTGATCAACCCCCGTCCCACCGTTCAGCGAGTACCGACTGGTTCCTTCATTCTCCGTAAGATACCCTCGTTCTTCCAGCGCGCCCCACCACCACGCTCATTCGCTGAGCGAGCGTTCAATACTTCGACGCCCCCCGTACGTCGCTCTTTCCTTCCGCCCCAGGGCCCAGAAAAATACGACAGGGTCAACCAAAAAACCTGATATTTTATTCTCCTAGAGCTGCCGCTCCCCCTCAACTTCCACGCTCATCTCATATCTACACATCAATTCCCGTTTCCATTCGAACCTTTTTCTGATTTCCCACCCCTTCGCCCTCCTCTTCCCACTTCCTACTCTTCAACCTCGACAGATTTGTGTCCTGATCTACGGTCACAATCTTGGACAGACCTCCTGGTCGATAACTCATCTTCACTAATCCGGTTCGCCTCGCCTCACCAAGTGGCCGCCCACCTTAAAAACGCTCCTCTTCTCCCGAGTTGCGTCCCCTGCTCGATTGTTGTTGTTCCTGCACAACACACCAAAGTCCCTGCATTCCCACCAGGCAACCTAAAAACCTGGAATACCGAGCTTCGAATATTAACCGTCTGACACGGACTATTTATTGAGGTTTTCTTCGCCTCTTTCTTTCTCTTGTGTTCGAAATACGAATCAACACAGCCACCAGCTTCGAACACAGATCTTTTGAGCGCGGATCGACACCAATATCACACCTGGTCGCCTCTCACCGTGTTACTCACCTGTCCCGACGACATCAACTGGTTGGAGAACACATCTTTTGGGATCTGCTCCCAAATACCGCCCCGCCACTCCTTCTCTCTCTCACCTCACTTGTCAGCTTCCCCTTGGCTTTATTTGACGATGTTCGTCCGCTTATAGCAATACGGTCCCTAGGGACGACCACTTCAATCCTCTTCCTGCTTTGTTGAGAGGACGCACAATCGTCTTTGTGTGTTCTCTTGACCTTCTGGAAAGCCTTTGAGCAAGCTCGTAAATCGACTTGTTTGAAGGCCCCCCTTGCTTGCCTCCTTGTTGGCAACGTGAACTTTAAACCACAATCCTATTACTCACGATCTCGAACTCTAATTCACTTCCTTTTATATTTCACTCTTCATTTCTCTCGTCACCTCCTCTCACCCCCTTTTCTTTTCCCCCTTCTCACTCTTCAACCTTCTCACTTATTACACATTCAATATGCCGTATTCCACAAGACAAGACATGGCGACGTCCAACGTCCTGGCATGGACAGCCCATGCGGCCAACGCCGTGGAGGATGACGCTGCTGCCGACGCCGACGAGCCGCCAGACCAGACACAACAGGCCGCACCCATGATTCACACCTTTGAGAAGACGTCCGTCTATCGCCCAAGAGAACGGATCGAGTCTCTTTTGACACGTGCTCTCCAGAGCCAGTCTGAGGATGAGGCGGCCGACCACGCCACTGCCTCTGGCCTGTACCCCCGGCGCAGACGATCTATCACCAGCAACACTAGCCTGGCCTCGACTGCCGGCTTTACCAGCGACACTGGCATTACTACGCCGCCCCGGACTACCTCACCTAGTCCGCGCATTGTCAAAGTTGGCTTCGCTCCGGCCAACGGAGAGATTCGCGACACCAAGGACTCGGCCCCGTCTGTGGACACCACGCCCAAGCCGGCCGCCCACGCTTCTTCCAAGGACACCAAGCCCGAGAACGCCAATACTACTGATGCCTCGGCCCAGGCTGCACCAAGAAAGCGGTGCATCTCATTTGCCTGCGGTGCTGTGAAGCCTAGTCAAGCCGCCAAGCCAACGTCCCCTCCTGCGCCGATCACCAAGACGCCCGGACCGGACGACACACCCAAGGCGGCTTATGCTCAGCTGGCGCAGCCTACCGAGGTGACTGAGCTTCCCAAAGCAGTCGAGCAGCCCAAGCGTTCGTGCATTCGTTTCGCTTGCCCCGTTCGCCCGTCGGCCGACTCGCACAGGCCGCAGATGTCCACGCTCAAGCTTGATGCCCCTGAGAACCGCAAGCTCTTGGCGGCCAGACATCCCTCGCCTGCGCCGGCACCCAAGTCACCCACGTCCATCCGCAAGCACCTGCCTCGCCGTGACTCGGCCAACCGCTCGCCTCGCTCTGTGACCCGCGCTTCTGCCTCACGCCAGGCCTCACACAGTCCCATTGCCACCCGCAACAAGAAGTACTATAACGCGGAGCCCGGAGCTTTGAACGAGGAATCCTCTCGTTTCCACGAATTTGCCAGCGATTTGCCGATGGAGGATGACTGGATCCGCCGTGACAAGGCTACCGTTCTGCAGAGACTCACCATTAACGATACTCTGAAGAAGGAGCTGGCAATTCGTTTGCTGGGCAAGGAGGCCGAGGAGGAGGCTGAGCAAGAGGAAAACGACGAGGAGAACGATGAGGAAAACGATGTTGCCGATGACGACGAGGATGACGATGAGGACGATGAGGACGATGATAATGCTGACAACGACGAGGACGACGAGAACGACACTGTTGAGGGCGACAATGATTACCTTGGCGACGAGCGTTTCGCAGGTTACAGCTCAGGTGCTTCAGACGGCTACAATACCGACAACGAGACTGGTTTCGCCTCGTCCGATGACGAGGACGATGGCCTGGTTCTCTGGGCTGTTAACCAGCCCAGCCGTCAGCGTCGCGAGCACAACTTTGACAACGACCACTCCACGCTCCACCAGGGTGGCTCGCCTATCTTCCGCCGCCTGTCGGTTGATGAGCACTCGGACTCGTCTGTTTTCGTTGCTGGTCGCGCCATGCGCCAGGATCGGCCTAAGAACCGCGAGCTTGTCAACAATATCCGCCGCGGTGGCACGCCTGAGCTTCCGGACAGCACTGACTTCGTCTGCGGTACTTTCGACGAGGACCGCCCGTTGGAGGAGGCTTACCAGTCGCACATTGCGGCTCGCAAGCGCGGCAAGACGCACGTTATTCCACAAGACATTGACCCCAGCTTCCCCACATCGGATCCTGAGGACAACAGCGACGATGAGCCAGTCAATTACAAGAACCGTGCTCAACAGCAGCAACAGGCACACGGAAGCGCCGATGATCGCTTCTGGGAGATGGAAGACCTGCACCACGACCAGACCGACAAACGGGCCGACACGCGCCAGAAGAAGAAGACTGTGTCGCCCAGACGGTGCCGCTCGCCTCCGCCGCCCAAGACTCGCGGCCGCTCGCCTGCGCCCCGCCGCCTGTTCGACCGCCACTCGCCCACGCGTCGCCTCAAGTCGCCTGCGCCCAAGGCCATTCCTTCACCCATGCCTGTGCCGATCATTGTCGCTTCGTCGCACATCCATGCCATCTCGCCGCCGGCTTCTCCCGTGGACTTGCCCGCCGACCGTGGTCGGCCCATGTTCCAACCGCTCGCGTTCCATCCTGGCATGACACACACCAAGTCTCTTCCCAGACCTTCGGCTATTTTCCGTCACCAACTGGCGACTGCTGCCCAAGCGCAGCAGCACCAGCTGCAGCAGCAGCAACAGCCTGCTGCCAAACCCTACCGCCGTCCCAAGGCCAACAGCCTTGCCGGTGCCAAACAACCTAGACACGTTCGTGGTGCCATTGACATTGTCAAGGGGCTCGAGCAGAAGCGCCAGAGACGCCGCGAAAAGTTTCAGCAAAAGTACTGCAACCGGGCGCGTAAGGGCCAGGTTCCCGAGCGGCGCACACAGCGCGGCGAGGGCGCCGAGCGCATGAGAGAAGTTGGGCTTCTCATGGCCGGAAAGATTCGCCCGGCGAACTACGTTCTTTCCGTCTAAAACCATGCCTACGACACCGACACAAAACAAACAAATGACGACTGGGATCCGGCGCATTTTGATTTTTTTTCCTAACCTCAATACCCGCACGTTGCCTGCACAACGCTCAGACATTTGTTAGTCATGGGAAAGGGCTTCTTTGATTTTAATAGCATTCGATGTTTTCCTCTCTCGTTTTCCTTTTGCTTTCCCTTTGTTTCAAAGCATTTACATCTGGGAGGCTGTTTCTTAACCTTGCAACGCATTTGTTGGTGGCTCGGTTCACTCGTGCATTTTCAGTGTGTTTTGTTTGCTCCTATTATTGTTTCTTTTTATTTTTCACTTCTTCTTTCTCTTATTTTGTCACGCTCCTCTGCCTTGTTTTGGCGAGCTTGTTTGACAATCCTTTTTTTATATTTTTATTCCTATCTTCCTTCTTGAGTGACAAGCTTTAAGCTTGTCTATCTTTTACTTTCTTTTCTACCTTACCCTTTTTTGTTAGGCACATACACACTTTTTTTATCATATATTTACTACGGCAAGAGCGTGGAATGGGGTCTCAAAACTGTACATACAAAACACGCAAGGCTTACGTGGACCTGTCCTCTGCCTGCAGACTCTCGTTACCATTATTCTCCAGTTTCTTTTTACTTCCTTTACATATTCATGCGAATTTCGTGGTCGCTTTTTATACTTAACGAGGCTACTGCTTTCTCTTTTACGCGTTTCCCTGGGGCTACTTGTCATTGAAAGGATACCCATTTACTTTTGTTGCTAGAATATCTTGAAGACGAACTGATAAATGACAAATGACTCATCTTTTTCTACCGTTTCTTATTATTAAATGTGCTGTCCTCTTCGGTTGTAGTGAGAATGTTGATGCCTATAAGGCCAAATTCCGCAAGTCCTGGCTGGACTGAGGCTATTGCCAACCAGGCAGAGGGACGGCAAGACGCGAGGCTGTTTAGTGTATCCTGTTGTGTGCATTGGGGCTGGGACTAGCTCCCTCATAGTGGATTCAGCAAGGGAAAGCTGGTATCACTGATGACCAAACACAGCCAAGGGCAAAGGCGTGCGCCGTGGCCTGAAAAGCAAGGCATGTCACGTGCTAGTCGTAGCGCAATTGGACCAGTCCAAAAGATGCATTCTCGCAGTCGATTACACCAGTGCTGTGGCTAACGAATTTCTAAGACGTGTATTCCGACGTTTGTCAGAGTTGCCTCGTGGTCAGCTTTTGCTGGCTTTTTTTGCATAATATATCCTTGAAAGATTCCGTTTGATACAGTTTCTCGCCTGGCTTATTTTAACAGGATGTAAAAATATTTTGCAGCTGTAAACATTAGTCTGATTGCCTGGACGAATAATCTGTCCTCTTTTTAATACACCTATTTAGCTGCCTCTGGATGCCCTGTAACCCCGTTGCTTCTCCCCTAACCGGAACCTGGGTCCCCTTATCCAGGCCAGGCCCACTGAACGTTCACCTTCCCCATTTATTTTTCTCCTGTGCGTGCCACTTCGCAACTTTGAACTCAAACCTCCCTTTTTACCTCCTCCGCCTCGAAGCAACCCCATCAAGCCTGCGTAACGCCCTTCCCCGTATTCTGGCAGGAAACGAACCAACGACGAACAACGAGCGAAACGTGCATCTCTTTACCTCGACGTCTTTTCCCGTCCCTGTCTCACCAGTCGACTGAAGACCTGATCCGGACCGACTTCGCATCGTCCCCTACACACACCACACCGCACAACTCACCCACCAACCGTCGCCATGTGGATGATTAACTGGTGTATGTTCATGCCGATGAGAGAGGATTGCTGTTGCGCCTACCTTCTGGCAAGGAAGACGGGCCAAGACCTATAGCAGTCGCACGACCGGACCGGATTCCGTCTCCATCTCGAAGAGGAAGGGAGCCGATTCTGAGGAGAGCAGATAAGAGCAAGGGATCAAGAATGCTGACATGGGGATGCCTCTAGTCTGGGACGTTCTGTCCTCGCTCGGCCTGCTGAACAAGCACGCGAAGCTGCTGTTCCTGGGTCTCGACAACGCCGGCAAGACGACACTTCTGCACATGCTAAAGGTGAGGACACGAGATGCCTTGGCTCTGCAATCGCTTTCGATGGCTCGGACGGGTTGACTAACTGCTCTCTTGTTTCTAGAACGACCGTGTTGCCATCCTGCAGCCGACGCTCCATCCCAGTTGGTTCCTCCCCCCACCCGTCTCACCGGTTGAGAACGGGCTGCTCGAACCCATCGCACCGAATGGAATGAGCTGGAACTAACATTCGGAAACCTCTACAGCATCTGAGGAGCTTGCCATTGGCAACGTCCGTTTCACCACGTTTGATCTAGGCGGCCACCAACAGGGTGAGTTGTTTCGTTTTCTGTCGCATTCCACATTCTGTTGTTGTGTTGCATAGTAACCTGGGCCGTAGCACGCCGCCTGTGGAAGGACTACTTCCCCGAAGTCAACGGCATCGTCTTCCTCGTCGACGCCAAGGACCACGAGCGATTCCCCGAGGCCAAGGCCGAGCTCGATGCGCTCCTCGCCATGGAGGAGCTCGCCAAGGTGCCCTTTGTCATCCTCGGCAACAAGATTGACCACCCAGACGCCGTCTCCGAAGACGAGCTGCGCCACCAACTGGGCGTCTACCAGACCACGGGCAAGGGCAAGATCCCACTGGAGGGCATTCGCCCCATTGAGGTGTTTATGTGCTCTGTTGTGATGCGGCAAGGCTATGGCGACGGTATCCGGTGGCTCTCGAACTACGTCTAAACGACCTTTCTTTCATACCCATCGCCTCGCGCACGCATCCACATACACATACGACCGCCCTATTTATGTCCATCCACTACCGAACGCCCTGTCCATCTCCGATGGACAGGGCTTCGTATTTCTTGAAACGATGTAGCACTGTGTAATTTTTTCGTTTACAGAGTTGTCTCTCGTGTGTTGCAGGGGGACGGAAGGAGAGCGGAACGGGAAGACCGAGGAGTTAGGCAGAGAAGAGAGACGGGGAGAGACGGAGAGGGACAAAGAGAGCAAAGTAGAATGCAGGTGTTGGAAGGGAAATTGATGTCTTTTTACTTTTACGTACAGTCGTTGGAAGGGGCGCTTGCCCAAGCCAGAAGCAATACTCAGGATGAAACACAATAAAAACACATTAAAGAACAAGTCTTTCACGGTGCACTTTTCTTCTCTCAACCACATTGTTGGGGTATAACTTGCTGGTTGATTCCGATTCATGACATTCGCGGTTCAGGTGATCACGTGTTGCATGCTGAGATATCCAAATCTATTCGATTCCTGCCGAACGGCCATGGATCCTTTGCCGCAATGAACATATGCGGAGTCGGAGAAGGGCCACTTTCTTTCCTCGGTGACACGGAGCCGCCTGTGGGCGTTTGTAGACAACTGTAGAAACCTGCGTGGAGCCGTCTTGGTAAAAAGTTCGCATCTCAAGGCCAAAAAATCACGGCAATGGAAAAGTTCCGGAGCCGACCATCGGCAGTTGCAACGTGGGGTTCCACTGTTGTCGTCGGTTTATCTCTCTTCCAGTCTTCAACATACAATGAATACATCCATTTCATATTGCGTGCCTCTTTTCTTTCGTAAATGCCATTGCCATTTTTGGTCAAGCCAATTCCAATGTATCACTGATCATTTTCACACCGAAGGGGCACGCACTGTCAAAACCATGCATTATCTCAACTTCCAATAATTGAACAACTCGTTTCGCATTATAACTCCGGATGAGAGTTAAAGTACTTCACTGGTCGTGCCTGAATATTCATAACCCTTCATTAATGCACCTTATTTTGTCAGGCGAAGGGAACACCTTGCAACCAAAGAACTGAAAAAGGAAGATCTACGAATGTAAGCCAAGGCTCCTTCCCATCGAGAGCCCCTCCTCCACACTCCGCAATTGGCCTAAAGCTATTATTACTGCTTGGCCAGGATTACACCGTCGACGACGTCCCTTTGTTTCTTAGAACCTTTGTGTTTTCGAGATTTACAGTTCTCCTTTAATACCCCTTTGCATTCTTCGCGCGTGTCTTTCTTGGACCCTGGCTTTGTCTTTTGACCTCCATTGCCAGTCTGCTACTCCTGCTTCGTGTTTTTGGAAACCGGATCACGACGTTTAAGCGCCTGACCAGGCGTTTTGATCGGACGCGCGTCGGCGCTGCCATCTTTCCCCGTCGTCAATGAAGATCATGGACATCAATTACGACGGGTTGCTGGACGAGGCGTTCTTGGGGGCGACGGTGCCGGGGATGACAACGCTGGGCTCAACCTTGCAGGGCTTGTCAGACGAGCCTGGACACAGAGACCTCAGTCCGCCGAGTAGTGCGACAAGCACAGCAGCACCGGCAGGGGCGCGCGTCGGCGGAGCACCCGGAACCGGTGCCGGAACTGATGCTGCGGCAGGAGCAGGAGGCAGGGGCGAGAGCGGCGACCCCGGCAGCGCAGCCGCGACAAACGTTGCGGGCTTTGCCGCCTCCAGCAGCAAACACCGTGTGCGTCTGCCGGCCAGCTGCGACCCGCCCTCGCCTGACACGCCGACTAAGCCATTGGTGTGGATTGTATGTTTTGTCGACCTCCGTCACCGTGTCGGACCATTCGCGCCGTATCGCCGTATGGACATTTTGCTAACATATCAAAGGTCTTTGGAGGCACAGGGCACATGGGCCGCTCGCTCGTCAAAGCGGCGCTTGCACACGGCGACTACGTGACGACAGTCGGCCGCATACACGAGACGTCCATGGCAGCCATGCAGGCCTTGGCAGCCTCGGAAGCGGAGCACGGTCCAGATGGCGATGGTCCATCACCAGAGCCTTTGACGGCATCACCGTCACCGTCTTTGTTTTCACCAGCGCCGGGCGGCGCAGCGGCAAAGAAGAAGATGCGCTGTCTCGGCACGCTGTGCGACGTGCGCGCGCGCGAATCCGTGGAGCGGGTTGTCCAGCGCACGCTGGCCCATTTCGGGCGCATCGACATCGTCGCCAACTGCTCTGGATACGGCGTGGTGGGTGCGTGCGAAGACCAGGACGAGCACGAGCTGCGCAACCAATTCGAAACCAACTTCATGGGCACCCTGTACATCCTGCAGGCGACGTTGCCCATCTTGCGGCGACAACAGGAGCTGCTGTTGCATCAGCAGCAGGTCCAGCAGCAGCAACAGGGGATGTCACAACAGAATTACAGTCTCGCTGGTGGTGGCGGCCGCTACCTCATATTCAGCTCGACGGCGGGCGCACTGGGTGTACCTGGGCTGGGTCCTTACTGCGCGACCAAGTATGCGGTCGAGGGGCTCATCGAGGCGATGCTGTACGAGGTGGATGCCTTTAACATCAAGGCGACCCTGGTGGAGCCGGGTCTGATGCGGCGCGACGACCGCCATCTGGATGCGAGCGAACTGCCAGGCGACGGGGCAGGCGGTACAGGCAACAGCGCACTGGGTCGAAGCAGCGGCAACCGGGGCGACAACACCAACCCACTGCCCACCTGGGGTCACTTTCTCATCAAACCGCCCAGCGAGACCTACGCCAACCCGTCTGCGCCGTCGCTGCATGCGACACGCATGGTGCAGTGGCTGGGTGACCGCCAACCTGCGAGCGTGGTGCAGTGTGCAGAGCTTGTGTGGCAGCTGGCTCACTGCTCGTTCCCGCCGCTGCGGCTGCCTCTCGGCAGCTATGCCATTGAGAGCATCCGCGACCGTATGCGCTCGGTGACAGAGGAGATTGAGGACTGGAAGCACCTGAACTTTCCTTTGTCACCTGACGCGGCGGCTGTTTCTTCTGCTGCTGCTGCTGCGTCTGCAGCTCCTCCCACGACAGCATCGGCGTCGACAGCTGTACCAACGTTATCAGGACCAGCGGCGTCGGAATTGCTTACGACTACGACTGCAGAACTACCAACATCGGCAGCTGGTGCGACCAGCTCAGTAGCAATTGGGGAAGAGGAGCCAACAGTCAGCGACAAGAAAGAGGACCAGGATGAGGAGATGCTAGACATTGGTAGTTAATGCTCCGAGGCTCTGCTCCAGGTACTGTAACTAGCCGAGGTGCGTCGAGAGGACCTGCGTATAGATATACCATCGGTGCGCACAGCGACACGATTAAACGTTCTGTTTTGCGTACGGCATCATTGTCGTCATTGTCGTCTCCCTGTAACATGACATGGCTAGTGTCTTGCGTCTTTCTCACTCAGCCCGCCTCTTCTGACTATACACGGCGTCGTCAAATGAAAAGTAGTGCTTTTCAGGATACTTTGAGATACTTTGTGTCTTGTTGATATGTGACCAGATTCTTGAAAGCTCTCGTCCCAAGTATCATTGTCACCGATAGCCTGTAGCTTGTGCGCTAGCGTGAGCCTGCGCTACGTTTCAGAATGATGTCGATCAGCAAAGAGTCCGCTAAAAGGGCCCTCCAAACAGTTGTTGCTAGCGTCTTAATAAAAGTCTTACAGGGGGTTCCGTCTTCTTCTGCTTTTTTCTTGTGGAGATCTTCATCCAGAGCACAGTTCACCTCAACTTCTCAAGTCTATTCTTTGTCTCGAGTATCGGTATTCTGTACACATCTCCATATTGTTGGCTGGCTTTTCTTTCCTGTGCGCCCCTTTGGCAGGTACATTAGCCCTGCTCACGTCCGAATGGACAGCATTTTACAGAATTCGTACTTAAAGGGGCAACATGTGGCTGGTCCACTTGTTTATCTTCGTTGCTCCCACCAGCCGATCGCTTTATTGCATATTTGGCGTGTAGCGTCTCTCTTCGACAGTATTCGCAATCTGGCCCACTATTTCTTTTTTTAATTGCTGCCGTGTCTTTTTGGAAAGCGTCTCCTTCCTCCCCCCTATCGCACACGCGCCATCACCTCCCTAATTCGCGGTGCTCGTCTTTCTCCCTCCTGGGACTATCTCGCTTCGTATTGCCTTAATTCCTTTTTTTCTCTCTTGCATCCTCGCTCTCGCCATTCCCTTCTTCCTTTGCTGGGATTTGTTCGTGCTTCACACCCCCAAATACGTTCGTTCGTATTTCTCTTTCTTCTCTTCTTCCTTTCTTTTCCAGGTCACGTTACGAGCCCCGGTCGTGTTCAATTTCTACCTCGACCTTTCTCCTTAATTTTCTCTCGGCGTCTTTCACCCCCCTTTTATCGCGTCCCCATTACGACCATCCATTCGTTCCGACACCATATCTCGTTGTTTTCTCGGTCCTGTCAACGAAACCTCTCTGCTTCTGTTTCCCGACTCGGACTCCTCGACCAGTCCCCTCCAAACACCGCTCTTTCGCCTCGCCCACCATGACGAACGTCTCGGATAAGAAGAACGAGGACTATGTCGTCCGGATGTCTGACCAGAATGACTACCCGGGCCGTCCAAACCCGCTCAGAAGCTACCACGCGGGCTCGCCCTCCGCGGGCGCGTCGAAGATCGACTTGTCTCGTGTTGAGAACAGCCCGCTTCTCGCCATCCTTGCCTACTGCATCGCGTCGATCAGCATGACTGTGGTCAACAAGTTCCTGGTATCGGGAAGCGACTGGAACATGAATTTCTTGTACCTTGCCATTCAGGTGAGCCCTTCTCTCTAGAACGCCGGCCACATTTCGCACGTTATCGTAACGTATCATTTTTCTAACCGTTGCCTCTCTAGTCTGTGGTCTGCGTCATTTGCATCCGCGGCATGTGGCTGTTCAACCTGCTACAGTTGGAGACGTTCTCGTGGAACAAGGCCAAGTCATGTATGCCACGCCCAATGCCGGCCGTTCTCGTGTTTCTATTGCTGTACTAACGACGTTCCTGTTCGCAGTCACGCCCATCTCCGCCCTCCTTGTCGGCATGATCTACACTGGTGCCCAGGCTCTGCAGTTCCTCTCGGTGCCCGTCTACACGATTTTCAAGAACTTGACCATTATCGTCATTGCCTACGGCGAGCTGATCCTGTTCGGCAACACCATCACACCCCTGACCCTGGTGTCGTTCGGCCTCATGGTTTTCAGCTCTGTCGTTGCCGCCTGGGCCGATGTCCGTGCTGCTCTTGGCGGCGCACACCCGGCCGTGGCCAACGAGGCCGTCTCGACTCTCAACCTCGGCTACGCCTGGATGGGTGCCAATGTCTTTTGCTCCGCCACTTTCCTCATCGGCATGCGCAAGATGATCAAGAAGCTGGGCACCAAGGACAAGGACAGTACGTGAAACATGCCACTTCCCTTCCACTACCCTTTGTTTTTTTTGCTTCTTAATCGTTCTAACGTGAGGTTTGCCTGCTAGCCATGCTCTACAACAACTTGATGAGCGTTCCGATTCTGCTTGTCTTCTCCTTAATTGTTGAGGACTGGTCTGCCGAGAACCTGGCGCGCAACTTCCCGGAAGAGACCCGCACGAACCAGATGATTGGTATCTTCTACTCGGGATTCATGGCTGTCGCGATCTCGTACTGCTCTGCTTGGTGTGTTCGCGTTACGTCTTCGACCACGTATTCGATGGTCGGTGCTCTCAACAAGCTGCCCATTGCGGTGAGCGGTCTCATCTTCTTCGATGCCCCAGTGACAGTGGGCAGCGTATCGGCTATTGCGATAGGATTCGTCAGCGGTCTCGTCTACGCCTGGGCCAAGATCCGCCAAACCGCGGCAGAGGCTCTCAAGCTACCCACGACCAACCAACCCGTGATGAGCGCGAGCTCCCAGAGTGCTAAGGATGCTGCCAATGCTTAAGCGAAACGCTTTTCCAACGGCCAACGGAAGTCTTCGTGCCCTCCTCTGCAACTTTCACTCACTTTGGGGGTTTATAACGATTCTACGACTTTTCCCCTTGAGTTCACTCCCCAAAACTTGTCCGCTCACTTGACACAAGGTGTATGGCGCAAATGCAGGGACAAGCCTTCTCCGTAACATTTCGTATTACCTCTATTTAATCCCCTTGATTGATCTCTTTCTTTTTTCACTCTCCCCCTACACCCACTTCTGTTCGTTGTACACGACTGTCGATTTGTTTTCACGTTTTCGTGGTGGCCCTGCTCGGACTACAGAAAGAGAGCTCTCTTCCGTTGATGATATAACTCCATGTTTGCCAGCGTGGAGACGTGGTTGTCTTTCTCATTTGTTTTGGTACTTTTTCTCTTTGCGAGATGCTTGCTTCGAAAGCACTTTTTCACCACTTTCCCCCTTGTTCCCTGGGATATGTTTTTATTTTAGAGGCGTTTTGGAGCGGGAAATGGATACAAAATAAAGATAAACAAACTCGAAATGTTATTTTATTGCACGTAAATGGACGTGTGCCACTTTGCCATCATTGAGAACTAAAATACCTTGCGCTTCCGTAACGAGTCATTCGACTGTGGCGTAGAGGGCTCCCTTTGTACTGATGGCTTTATTTGTAATTTATTTATTTATTTATTTTTTGATCACGCGTCTGTCTTGTCTTCATTGTGGCTTTCGCGAAGTGTGTCAAGTGGTCTGTAACTGCCTAAAGCTTGAATGGTCGTGCTTTCCCCGTCAGATGTCGTGTGCGCTGACAAAGTAGGAGCGACTGCTGCCTCTTTGGGCGGTTGACCAGCGGTTGAAGCAGGACTTCTCACATGCAAGCAGTTGCGACCTTGATTCGGTAATAAATTTCAGGGTTTGGTTTGGTTGGGGCAGGCTACCAAATGGCCCTTTAGGCTGGGTATGGCAGCTGTGACATCAGTGCCAACAGCTCCTTCCCGATTCTTTTTTAATATTTTTTTTTGCGCTGTTTGGCTTTGCGCGGGTCGCTTGGCAAGAGGCTGTGGTCCAGCCTAGCACATGGTCCCCTGGAGCCAGCTTGATGTGGGACCTTTCTGCCCACTTTCTCATCCTCTCCATCCTCAACAAAAAAAAGGCCGAACCGATATCAACGGCACCAAAGACGACTCCAAGGCGGCCCGTCGTCTCCCCTGTGACAGCATCCTTTTCTTTCTTATCCTTCCGACAACCCAAAATACTCGACCGCAAAGCTTCGCCTCCTAGGGCTCAGGACAACGATTTTTTCTTCTTTCTCGCATCGGTGTCCCCTCATCTCGATCGACCAGCGACTTCGATTCACCCGTGGCGCTACATCTGTATTCTATTCTTCGCTGCGACGCCCCGCTCCCCTGATCTTGCTCGATAAACAACATTTGCAACAGCTTGCTGGACGCTCGCGCGGGCGACGCGCGTGCAGCAAACGAGCAAGATGCTCCCCTACATCAATGCGCGTACGTCCGGAGAGGAGCCGACGAGGCTACTCCGACAATACCTCTCCTATAAGTACCAACTTTTCTGGTAGATGTAATGTAGCTAACTGTTCATTAGCTTTTTATTATGTCGCCGACCGACTCGGGGCAGAAGCTGACGAGCGTACGTGTTTATTTTGGGCCCTGGCCTCTCATACAGCCGTGCAACCCATCCTCCGCTTCTCGCTGACAGCTTCCCAGTCAAGCTTATCTTTTCTTTTCTTCTGTCGTATCCCTTAGCCGGTCTCTTGAAGCGGGTACCTGACGCTCGTCCCGAGCGGAAGAACCTATTCATTATTGCGTAAGACAAATCAAACATGTGTCACGTTTTTGACTTCTTCTTGCCTGGCTGTCTCCTAACCTCTTTTCCCAGTGTTTCTCTTTTCTACCTTATCGGACTTTTCGATCTGTGGGACGGCCTGCAAACCCTCTTCATCTCCTCGGCCGTTGCCTATGGCCTCGCCAAGTACCTCCGTACCAGCCCGTACATGCCATGGATCGCTTTCGTCTTCCTGATGGGCCACATGTCCGTCAACCAGATCGCACGCCAGTACGCCAACGCCCCTTCCACGATCGACATCACAGGCGCACAGATGGTCCTTGTCATTAAACTTTCCGCATTCTGCTGGAATATTGCCGACGGCCTTGTCCCCGATGCCGATCTCACGCCGTTCCAGCGTGACCGCGTGCTGCACGAGCTGCCCAGCTTGCTCGACTATGCCGGCTACGTCCTGTTCTTCCCGTCGCTACTCGCCGGTCCTGCCTGTGATTTTGCCGAGTACCGCCGTTGGCTCGATACCTCCATGTTTGCGGTCCCGGCTTCAATGGACCCGGCCAAGCGCCCGCCAACGCGCCGTAAGCGCAAAATTCCGCGTAGCGGCACGCCTGCCATGAAGAAGATGGCCGTGGGTCTTTTGTGGATTGTTACATTCCTCGTCCTTAGCGGTTGGTACCCGCCCAGTGTCGTGCTCTACGACGAGGCTGGTGGTGGCACGACGTTTTTGAAGCGAGTCTGGCTTTTGTATGTTATCGGCTTTGTCACCCGCACCAAGTTCTACGGTGTCTGGTCCCTGACCGAGGGTTCCTGCATTCTGGCCGGCCTGGGCTTCAACGGTGTCGATCCGACGACAGGCCGCATCTCCTGGAACCGCGTGGCCAACATTGACGCCTGGGGCGTTGAGTCGGCTCAGAACACCCGCGCCTACCTTGAGAACTGGAATATGAAGACCAACTCCTGGCTGCGCAACTACGTCTACTTGCGCGTGACCCCGCGCGGTAGGAAGCCCGGGTTTCGTGCGAGCATGGCCACCTTTGTCACCAGCGCCTTCTGGCACGGTTTCTACCCGGGATACTACCTGACGTTCGTTCTCGCCAGCCTCATCCAAACCGTCGCCAAGAACTTTCGCCGCTTCTTCCGACCTTTTTTCTTCAAAGACCCGGCCACCCTAAAAGAGCCTTTGCCATCCAAGGCATGGGTTTACGATCCGCTCAGCTTCCTTGCTACCCAGGTGGCTTTTGGATTTGCCGTGGCGCCCTTCATCCTGCTGACACTGCAAGACTCCCTGCTGGCCTGGTCACGCGTGTACTTCTACTGCATTGTCGGGGTGCTTGCATCCATGGCCATGTTCGCGTCGCCTGTCAAGCCAGCCCTGAAAAAGGAGATTGAGCGGCGCGCGGCCAAGGCTGCCTCGGCTGCCGGCAGCGACCCCACTACCCTGCCTGCCGCAGACGCAATCACCCCGAAACCCGTTGTGGCTGCAGCTCCTGCGACCGATGCCGACGAACCGGGCATCCACGACCTACCGCCAACCAAGCAGTTCGCCCAGACTCGCGAAATCATGGGTTCCGGTTTGCCGGCCGACCCAGAGGCCGAGCTGGACGAGATTGTAGCCGAGATTCGGGGCGAGGTAGAGAGCCTGCAGCGGCGGGCCACCATGAGCAAAGCAGCCCAGGCGACGCTCAAGAAGCGGGCGTAGTGAGTTGGTATATGCTGCTTTGAGAGCATGAGGAAGTATCGAGTAGGGAAATGGGGCGGCGTTTGGAATGGGTTTGAAAGATGCGCCATCAACATTTGGACCGCACAGGAGACGGGGTTATGAATTTTGGTTGACCTTTTGACTTTCACTTTTGGTATTTTTTTTATGCATTTGAGTTTTGCATCAGCCGTCTTGTGTTTGACAGCGTCTCTGAGTATTAGAGAGCCTTTCTTGTTTGGACCTGCCCGACGAACTGACGCCAACGACTGGGCTTTGAGTCCGTCTTCCTTTTTTATCTTATCCTGCATTATAGCATCCTACACATTATCATTACTTTGCACAGCTTGCGGTTCCCCGTTTGCCATTTGGTATGCACGCCAGAACAGATATGATATAAAGTATATTTTATGAACAATGTGTAATGGTGTATGTCATTAGGTTTGAAAACAGATATAAAAATGAGTGCAGGCAATCTGGGTTGCACCATTCTCGTATTGACAAACTCTCTTCGTCCACTTCCTCCTTTCCATCGTCATTCAATAAATAATCATTACCCAAATAATATGGTGAGGTTGTTTCCTTGGTAGGCGCTGTCTGGGTGGCTCGTCGGTTTCTTGTCTCATGTCGACATTATACCATGGTGTAAAACAAAGGAGAAGAGCATATAAACAGGCAAGCGCCCCACGTGGATGTAAAAAGCGAGAAATGTAAAGACAAAAGGGAGAAAATATGTGGAAAGGACAGAAAAAAAAATAAAACGGGCCGGGTCACCACTGTCTTCGAATCAACGTGTGAAACAAGATGTTCGACAACCGTCCTTAAATAAGAAAATGTATATCCAAAAACGTGATGTAAATGACACAAAATGAACTTTTGAATATAATCCAAAAAAAAAAATGAGAAAAGTAAAAGACAAAATAAGGGGAGAATTCAAGGAAAGAATTATCTTTAGTTGTTCGGATGCTGTTGGTACAAAATAGTACAGACATAATAGGGAACGTAAATGACTAAAAAATGGCCAGGTGTGCCGGAGCGGCGGTCTAGTTGCGAATGCAAACGAGATAAAAAGCGGCGGTTCAGTAAGACAAGCGAAGAAGTAAAGGTCTAGACGGGATAGGAAATGGTGGACATAGTCAATGTCCGAGGGAATGTTGGTCATGGTTGTCGATGTGCTCGAGCTCTTCAATGGTTGCGAGAATAAGAAAAGTTGGTTGTTTGTCGTCCTTCGCCGAGTAAGTTTGTTGGAAGTAGGTGAGTTTTCTTTCACTGGCCCCATCCTTGGCGGACACCGACGACAACGAGGGCTGCGACAGCGCCCAGAATAAGCAAGCCGAAGACCGACATGACACGGTTCAGTGTGCGCCACCATTTGGCGCTCTGATAGCGTGCTTCGTCGTATTGAGCAATGCGGCGCTTGAGAGCCTCTGGGACGCCGTACTTGCCTTCTGCACGCTTCTCCATGGCCCGCTTGGGGTCCGGTGGCAAGGGAAGGAAGGCAGCGGTCATC